GCCAAAGTAGTAGGTGGAACAATGTTTTGCTTTACAGTAGTTTTTGAGATGATTTTTAAAGAAGATCATTTCTCATAGGTGATGTTCTTTATTTTATGAGTCAATCTATTTAGCTAAAAGATGATCTCACGGGATCACTTCAGATTAAGGTTTTTAAAAGCGTATCTCAGAGCTGTTGTCTTGGGGAGTCCTCTAGTTTCAACCAATCCAGTATGTCTACACTTTTTACGAATTTGAGTTTCGTTCCACATTTCTCGCCTGTTCTATCAGGTTCCATCTATTGTGATCCTGATCAGAACAGTTGGTAGTGGTAGCCGGGCACCATCTAGTTCTTCTGGTCTCAGGGTAGATGAGGCCATGGTTTGTGCAGACTGTTAGTCCTATAGACTACTTCCTTCTCTGAGTCTTTGGTTTCTTTCTTTCTCTTTAGTTCCAGACGAGTAGAGACCAATAGTTGTATCTTTGATCGCTGCTTGCAAGCTTTTAAGACCCCAGACATTACTCACCACGTTGAAATATAGAACATACACACTTTATGAACTATGTTATTACAATTACCTGAGTTGTTCCACATAACTATGGTCTTAAGCCTTCAAACTCAGAAAACCAATCTCATGAGGTGTTTGGTTATGTCTAAAAAGTATGTGTAACTGTGTCCCCATGGTACAGTACATTACTTGGTATGGCTTTTCTAGCCATAGTCTTTGTAACTCCCACCAGATTACTGGGTGGGACTATGTAATTTAAACTTCTGATTGTTAAAGTCATCCACCTGGGGTTTTTCTGTTGGAGCAGCATGAAGTGATCTTCTGGGAAAGCTCACTCTCCCTCAGGTATGTAGAACTCTGATGTTGGGACTGATTGGTTTTGCCACTCTGCCAGGCTCAAAATGCATCCTCCTAGAGGCAGAGGAATCTGACTGCCGGCTGAGAGAGCCAAACTGCTAAGAGAGATGCACTGCTGAGAGAGAGACACCCGGCTGAAAGATGCCTGGTTGAGAGAGACACCCGGCTGAGAAAAACACCTGACTCAGAGACAGTGGCAGTGGAACCAAGAGACATGAGACACAGTGGCAGGCTCGCCTGGCCCACAGCTGCAGAGGTCAGGCCAATAGGCCAAGGGCCAGAGAGGTGTGTCTAAGGGCACAGCCAAGGGGAGACTGTCCTGACCGATGAACTGTATCCTGAGTGCATTCCTGGACTTGAATTGTAGCCTGTTACTCCCTAATAAACCCCATAATCTGTGAGTTCTGTGTGGCCACTGCAGTGAATTATCAAACCCAGCAAAGACGTGGGGGGTGCCTCAGGAGGGACGGTTGGTGTCAAGGTTGGTAAGAGGGCTGGAGGGTGGCAGCATGTTGGCCTCACAGGAACAGGCCTTGGGCTACTGATGGTGATTCCTCTTGTGTAGTTAGAGGAGGTCAGAAGATGCCACGTCCTTGTCCATTTAGCAGTCCCCTGTGTGGTTTATTATGCGTATGGATATACATGCATGCAGACACATACCTTAGGCCCACGGATATATCTACCTGTGCACATAGGTAATCACGTATACCCTAGAGCTCGTGTCTTCTGTCTGGACTTCTGCCCTGCTGTGCTCGGCTGGCCCTGGACCCCTGGGCTTCAGCTGGAGCAGAGCCTAAGCACAGCCCTCTGGTCACAAGTACAGCACTGCACCTCGGCCACCCCAACTCTAAGAACCTTACAATGCTAAGATCTTTCAACCTGAGGAGGTGGCACGTAACTAAGACTGTGTCTCCATTCATTGAAGAGAAATTTAAAAGAGAAACCTTGGAGAATTCCAAAGGCCTGGGTGGCCAGCAGCTTCAGGAGGGTACGCAGCTCTCTGCCAGCCAGCCGATAGGGACAACAACTCGCCTTCCCCTAAGTGAGAAGGGCACCCAGCGATTCCACTGCTGGGCACTGTCTCCTCCAGCAATGCCTGGGGATGTGTAAAGAACACTCCCTGCAGTACGCGGGTGACTGATGTCAGCCAGAGCCTGTGTAAGCAAAGCACAGTGTGGCTGGGGACCCTCACCAGCAGGGAGACAGAAGCAGAGCTGCAGGGGCCCATGTGCTGCAAGAAACACAATGCTGCATGAGGACACGGAAAATACGGAGAGACTCTAGTTACACGAGGCTCATAAATGGACCACATGGGACCACCTACAGTCCAGGGGCATCAACGTGTGACAAAGCTGAGAAGGAAGGCTGCTCCCACCCCTCCAACAAGTCTGTGCTCCACCACCAGCTTCACGCCAAGGCCTGCTGTCCTCCCTACGGAGTCCCCGGGTCATGGGGATGAAGTGCTTGGATACTAAGCAGCCAATTCCACCCAGAGGCACCTTGCAAGAAAGGCCTGGTGATCTCCTTCTGAACAATCACAAAAAAAAAACCAAACTCACTGCCATCAAGTTGGATTCGACTCATAGCGACCCCTCCTCCGGTTTCCGAGGTGGCATCACTATGGAAGTAGATTGCCCAACCTTCCTTCTAAGGAGTGGCTGGTGGATTTGAACCGCCAGCCTTCTGGTTGGCAGTCAGATGCCTTAGGCACTGTGCCAGAGCTCCCTGAACAATCACAGCCACTGAAAACACTACACAGTGCAGTTCTACTCTGACTCACGTGAGGCCGTAATGAGTCTAAGTCTGTTCAATGGCAGCCTTTCCCCTTTTCATTCTCCCTACAGTGCAGCCTCCATCGGTCTCCCTAGCTCAGGCCGAGGAGCTATGGCTGCCACAGGAAGGGCTCAGCAAGGACTCGTTGAACGGAACAGATGAACAGGTGTTTGCCTCTGGGTGGGTGGGGGATGGGCCCAGAAGGCACACGTGGGGGCAGGAGAGGGTGAAGCTTTCAAGGAATGGCTGCTGCTGTACTGACTTAGCTGGGTGATGGGTACAGGGTTTGACTGCTGTGGTTGTTATTTAAACTGTACATAAAGGATGCATCAACAAGATCTTGTTTGGAACCAGAATTGGGGAATTCCTATGGGAAAACAAACAAGTGACAACAGCAGGAACACTCAGAGAAAGAGATGACGTTATCACTGTCCTATCAACACAAAGCTCCTGGCTGGGTGCCCTCTCCATCCCAGTCTAGCAGGGTTCCCGCAGATGGTGAGGCGCCCTGTCCCCAGGTGTGACGTGACTACCATCCCTCCCCAGCCTCTCAGGAGGGCAGGGTCATGGCGGGTCTGCCCACTTTTCACACCCCCAGCACAAACAGTATGTTGAATGATGCAGAAACATCAGAAGATGGAAGGAATACACAGTCACTGTGCCCAAAAGAACTGGTAGATGATCATCCATTTCAGGAGATGGCATATGATCAAGAACCAAAGGCACTGAAGGAAGAAGTCGAAGCTGCACTGAAGGAACTGGCGAAAAACAATGCTCCAGGAATTGACACAGTGCCCACTGAGATGTTTCAACAAACGGATGTCCCGCTGGAAGCACTCACTTGGTTATGCCAAGAGATCTGAAAGACAGTTACCTGGCCAACTGACTGAAAGAGATCTGTATTTGTATCTATCCCAAAGAAAGGTGATCCCACAGAATGTGGAAATTATCAAACGATATCATTGATATCACATGCAGGTAAAATCTTACTAAAGATAATTCAAAAACGGTTGTAGCAGTATATTGACAGAGAACTTCAGAAATGCAAGCTGGATTCAGAAGGGGACGTGGAGCGAGGGCTGTCACAGCAGATGTCAGGTGGATCTTTGCTCAAAGCAAATACCAGAAAGATGTTTACTTTGTGTTTTATTGAGCATGCAAAGGCATTCAATTGTGTGGATCATAACATTGTGGATAACATTGAGAAGAATGAGAATTCCAGAACACTTCATTGTGCTCACGAGGAACCTATACGTAGACCAGGAGGCTGTCATTCAAACAGAACAAGGGGA